ACGCACATTATTGTTCTTTTTTTTTAACTTTAATATTCAATTTATTAATATAAATTTAAAAAATCAAAAAATAATTTCGACTATGCGCGTGTATATAAGGAACGAATTTAGAAATTAATTAGAAAATGTATAGAAACTAAACTATTATTATTAGAGAATATGATGAGTAATCTTAGTTAATTGTTAGATAATAGTAGCGAGTGTTTCGTACTCTTTTATTAGATATTTTCATTAAGCAAATCGGAAGTACTCTTTACTTTATTACCTCTATTAAAAAATCTTATAAGGAAATATTTTCAATTTAAAAATCGATGTTTGCTAAAGTATCAAATTACTGAGATAAGCTTATGAGATTGCTTAGAGTGACAAAATATGGCCAATAGGTGGAAAAAATTAAATATATGTGTCATTCGATAGTCTCTACAAAATGGCATGTACAAAAAATAGTTTGGAAACAAATTTTTTTCTTTTAGAAACCTGTTTTTGATAAACTGAAATGTCAGAGATTCATGGATAGTTTCGATAGTCGTATTACGAATGAGATATATTAATGCAGTTGTATTATTTCTAGATAAAAATCGACTTTTAAATTGGGAATGTTTTCTTTTTAGTATTATTAAATTAATGGACTGTTATTTGATTAAAAATGTATACAACTACGCCACGATGCAAAAGACATATTGAAAATAGATGCTATGAAGGTTTTCAATCAATCGTTCGATATATCTCAAATTAATACATGTTGCATTTTTATGTTATTATTTATCTACTCTTTTACTGCATAAAAAAATAGATGAAATTTGTAGAGTACTAACAGTCAAGTTCTCAAAAAATAGATGAAATTTTGTAGATTTATTAAAGAAATATTTAAGAGAAAAAGTTGACTATTAATTTTTATTATTATTAAGTGGAAACATGATGTCTTATCGTCATCGTATAGATAATGATTATTAACTTATTTTTTAATGCTCATTCGACGTTTCAATACAGTATTTTCACGACGTTTTTATTTAATATTATTATCGTTATGCAGTTCATTATTTGTTATTCTGACGTTTATGAGATATTCTAGACAACAAACAGAAACACGTTCAAAATTATTCTTTGATGGTTCATATCATCTAGCATCAGAATCAATAAATGTTGATAGAATAATATTAAAAAATGATCAAGATTCAAGGAAAACATCGTATAAGGTAAATTGTTTAAACAATATTTAAAAAATAAAAATATTGAATATCACAAATGAATTTATATTTTATGTTTTATAGGATGCACTCAATGATAGTAATGGTATCATTCCTAATTCAGTGAAACAAACTGCCCATATTGAAAAACTAAATATGATAAAAATAAATAAAATTGAAAATCAACTTACTAGTAATAGTACTGATAATAAAGATAAATATTCTCAATCAAAAAATATGAAATTATCAAATATAACAATAGCCAATAAAACTCTAGGATTATATATTCATTTTGATCTCAAAGGTGCAGCTCCAAAAATCATCTATTTTCAAAAATTATTTCCATTATTAAAAAAATGGGGAGCAATTGGTATTTGTATAGAGTATGAAGACGTTTTTCCATTCGATGGTATATTGAAAGATATTCGACATAAACAAGCGTATACAGTAAATAATATAAAACAGATTAATAAATGGGCAAGAGAAAATGATCTTGACGTAATACCACTAATACAAACATATGGTACATTTATCAAATGTCTCAATGAAATTAATTATCTTGATTTTATTATTATTTTTTTTCTTTTGTTTTAGGACATTTGGAATTTTTACTTAAAATTGATAAATTTTCTCATTTACGTGAAAATTTAAAATATCCTCAAGTTATTACACCGTGCATTAATCAAACATTTACTGTTTTGTATACAATGATTGATCAATATTTAAATTTATATCCTAATATAACATATTTTCATATTGGTTGTGATGAAGTCTATTATTTTCTTTCGAATACGGCATGTATTGAGTTTCAAAAAGTAACGAATATTAGTACTCAATATGAATTATTTGCTTATCATGTATCAAATATTGCAAAATATATACATTCTAAACGACCGACTCTACTCTTGCTTGTATGGCATGATGTTTTACAAAACTTAGGACAACATCTATTATCTAAATATAATCTATTAAAATTAATTAATCCTGTATTATGGTCATATCGTGAAGATGTGAATGTTGAAGGATTTCTTCAAGAACAACAGGCACAAATATTTGGACAGTTTCAATCGATATGGGGTGCAAGTGCATTCAAAGGTGCAACAAGTGAGATTTCAACAATATCAGATATTAAACATTATTATTTAAATCAACAATCATGGATTGCTCAATTGAATTTATTGATACCAAAAATGTGGCAAAATTTTGATGGAATGATTGTGACCGGTTGGTCAAGATATGACCATTTTTTATCACTATGTGAGTTATTACCCTATTCTATACCATCATTAGCATACTCTATAACGGCATGGATCGATCCGTTTAAAAATGCAAGCTATGATATTCAATCAAATCAAGAACTACAACAGTATGTTGATAAGTCACTCGGATGTAATACTCATGTACACACACAAATACAAGAATATTCAGATCAACGGAGTCCACAGTGTACATTTCCTGGAGCTGATATTTATGAAGCCATAATTTCCTTACAAAATATTTGGAAACAAGTGGAACAATCTGAACAATTTGCTGATAAATTTGTTACTGATCTCCATTTAAAATTTAAATTTATTCATGTAAAACGAGTAAGTCCAAATAACATACGTCAATATTTTAGTCTTTAATTTTTCATCGTTTAGAGTGAAGAATCGCTAGAACAATTGAAACCTTGTTTACAAATATTAGATGCATTTCTACAAAGATTTCAGACAGCGATGGACAAAATATTTCCACCACAAGTGGCTATCGAATGGCTAGAAACATATTTTATGCAACGTTATAAAAAAATAAAAAATCGTGTCGAATTTATAGAAAAAGCGATTGAAGAACAAAAAACATGGAAACCACGACCAATACCAGACTTAGATAAACTAGATAATAAAAGACAATAAAAAGAAAATATCAATCAAACTGATATAGACCGGTGAATGTCCAAACTGTCTTCGAGAAATCATTATATAAAATTTCAGTATTTTTATTAAATATGAAAATGATACGAAGCATCAATCAAACTATTTTTCTTCACAATATATAATTCAAAATGATTGATGTGAGTTGTTTTCAGAATTACCATCTGTACATCATCAATAATTTTTTCTATCCTTATCTCATCTAACTGTTTTTTTTGCAAGAGAAAGCTCTTCTTAGATCTGTATGATATCATAATACGCATAATTTCATATATTTTTTTGTATCATTTTTTATAAAAAACAAAAAAATGATTCAGTCTACAATAGTTTATATCAATTAAACTAGTTTTAGTGTTAAAAATAAGACTAAAGCTTCATTCAAGTTCAGTAGTGTACTTCTGCTATTTTATTCTTTTCTGTTAAATGAACAGTCTTTTGTTCTTTTCTTGATCACCTTTCAGATAAACGGGAATAGATTCCTAGATCTCAACGCGTTGATATTTTCTTTAAATCATTGAGAATGTTTGAAAGGCGTTCTCGAAAAGTACAACGACTTTAACATTTCTCGGTGTTATGACTGACTTTGCTTTATTTTCCATTTTATTCCATTATACTATAACATTTATTTTTTCTTACAAAGAAATGTTTTGGAGTGTTTAATTGTTTAAACAATTTTTATAAGCTTAATTTTTTGTTGACGATTTGATATTATCAATTTCGGCTTGTAGGTCTTTTTAACGATGAACTAAAAAAGTAAAAAATGAAGAGACAAATCATAAATTTGCTAAGTAATAGTTTCCAACAGTGTTAGAAAGTAGAGCAGATCAAATTAATGATGTATAAAAATAGTAGCACTAATAAAATAGTTTTCGCAGGGTTATACAACAATTAACGTATGCACCGTTCAGACAAGGCTTAGTAGCCAAACTGGGTAACAAATGCGTAATCGGCATCAAAATCTAATCGTAAAAAACAATGTTTCATCAAATTTAACAAACGTTCTGTTATCAGTTCCATATCTGAGTATCTTTAGTTTTTTTGTACAAATTATTATTTTCTATTGTAATAATTGTGATAATATTTTTTTGAAATAAGTTTTGAAATTTTTACTCTATAAGATAAAATTAACTTCTGTATACTGTACTGAGATTATTTGGAATAAAATGGAAACATGACAGAGCTATTATCGTTGTATGACCAACTGTTGATATAATGTATTTAGTTGAATATAATTATCTTAATCCAAGTAAGAAGAATCATTAACACTAAAGCCTAACGATATTGATAGACTGTTGAAAACATATCATGACGACAGAATTGTACATCTATAAAATGTATATGTAATCGAACTTATCATCATCATCATGAATTGATACAGACTTTATGCTTTACACTACTCTATGCTACTATTTTCTAAATTATAGTTTTGATTTTCTATAGTCAAGGTCTACTTTTTTTAATCAAAAACAGTAAATATATTATATGAGTTTAATGGACTTGTAATATATTACCAATCTTTCTCAATCGTTAATAAGGTGCATTTTGATAATACTATATTAATGAACTCTTGTTCTATGTCTAGTAATAATTTTGATAAATTTTGATAGAAAATTTTCAAATGAAGCTAAAACTGTTAAACATCCTAGAGGTAACGGGTGGCGCAGAATAAAACGGACTATTTTGTCTCCTCTATAACTTCGTCAGTTTAAATCTGATCGGGCCAATTTTTTCCCATCAGAACCGTCATTCAATTCTCCACAAAACCATGTGTAAAAGATTTTTGTAAACTACAAAATGGCTAAGTTCTAAAACGAAGAAAAGAGGTCCGAAAATCTTCAACTTTCCAGCTCAAAATGCATTAACATTTGGAGTATGTTTCAACAATTTATACGTAGGCTTAAATTAAGCGAGAAACATTTGCTGGCATTTTCAAATACGCTCTTTCCGATATCCTTGAAAATATTTTGTTTGAAAGTGGCCTTCGCCTATTAAATATTTCGATATTCGATATTTTCCGAAAACTTGTTCAAAACGCCTTAATTTGGGTTTTCACGAAAGCCTACCGCAAACAAAACTTTGCATGACTCG